CTATCATATTTTATTTATTTATTGGATTTATACCCTGCACCATCTGGCAACCAGGACACTCTCGGTGGCTAACAAGATAAACAGCACAGTATCAAAACATGATAAAAAATAAAATAATACATACATTCAACAACTATAATAACCAGCAGAATAAATTATATCTATCTGTCTGTCTGTCTGTCTAACCAACTATGCATCCTCTGTCCATCCATATTTTTCATCAATGTTTACACAAAAGAGGATATTTATTATGACCTGTATCTTTGCTTTTCGATCATATTTTATTTATTTATTGGATTTATACCCTGTACCATCTGGCAACCAGGACACTCTCAGTGGCTAACAAGATAAACAGCACAGTATCAAAACATGATAAAAAAATAAAATAATACATACATTCAACAACTATAATAACCAGCAGAATAAATTATATCTATCTGTCTGTCTGTCTGTCTAACCAACTATGCATCCTCTGTCCATCCATCCATCCTCACACCACATGGGGATACCCCTGAGAAGAAAGAAGAATATCAAAAGCAGGAGGAAAGCTAATAAAGTCTGTCTGTCTGTCTGTCTAACCAACTGTGCATCCTCTATCCATCCACCATATGGGGATACCCCTGAGAAGAAGAATATCAAAAGCAGGAGGAAAGCTATTTTATTCATCTGATGCAGAGAAGCAGGACTACTAGGAAATATGGAAGTGTCCCTGGAGTTGTGCAACTATCAGGCCTTTCCCATGGATGATGATTCTGTTTCCCTATAACAGGGATAGCAGTCACAAGCTTCAAAAGGTATGGAGGTGGTTGTGGTAGGTTTTGTGGGTGGAGGAATCCTTGCCACTTCCCAGAAGAAGAGAAGAATGTAGAGGAAGAGGAGATGTGCAGTGATGGAAGATGACTCCCTATTGAGTGGAAGCAAGTAAGCAATTTGATAGGATACCTTGGAAGAAATGCTATGTCTTTGGTGTAAAGATCTGAGATATAAAGAGTTTACCAAGACTTATCAACTCACATTATTCCTCCCATCTGATATACTCTGGTAAAAAAAGAGACTTCCAGATGCAGCCTTCCCCTATTGAGGCAAGTAAGCAATTTGATAGGATACCTTGGAAGAAATGCTATGTCTTTGGTGTAAAGATCTGAGATATAAAGAGTTTACCAAGACTTATCAACTCACATTATTCCTCCCATCTGATATACTCTGGTAAAAAAAGAGACTTCCAGATGCAGCCTTCAATGTACTGCAAGGCACTATGAGGCTCTAGGTAGGAAGATCAAAGATCTTAGAGCATAAATACTTTTTCATGACTCTTTCCTGCTTAGGAAGAGCAACAAGAATATGGAAAGTGAAGTGAAAAAAAAGAGACTAGGAAGAGCAAAGATCTTAGAGCATAAATACTTTTTCATGACTCTTTCCTGCTTAGGAAGAGCAACAAGAATATGGAAAGTGAACAACTGGCTATGCACATGGTGTTGTTAGGAACCTTTTGGTTCCCTGAACCACGGTCTGTACAGACTTTTAGAAGAAATGCATTCAATTGTACCATGGGTTGAGAAGAATATGTTTGCTACAAGTCTTGCAAACTTGGTCAAGAGGGCTTTAAACTGGATCCTGTGGAGAGAATGGTGGTATTCACATTCTACGAGCAAGGGTAAGAAATTGAGAAAGGGGTATAGGATCCCTCACAATACATGGGAAAAGATAACAAGGAAGCAGCTGAGTAGAAGGATCCATTGTTTCAAATGTATCTATGCCAAAGCAAAGAGAATGGGGAAAAAGAAGGCGAGCTTAAACTCTCAACACAGGGAGGCAAATATGACTTAATAGGCATTACCAAAACCTGGTATGGTGAGACTCATGATTAGAATGTAGTAAGTAAATAGTATAACTAATCTGAAATAAATAGACCAAACAGGTGGAGAACATTCAGGTAAAAATCAAAGTACTGTAGGAGAAAACAATAGTGACATGACTGTGAGGATCTTCTACAGACCTGCTAGCCAGAAGGAACATTTAGATGAGAGACATGAAAAGTAAGGTGCTGCAGGGTTGTCTCCAGGGCCTGGTCTGGCATAACACACCTTCTGTGATAAAGGCACAGAAAGGATCCATATCAAATTTGAAGTTCACACCAAACAGGAAGGGGTACCTAGTACTGCAGAAGATTAAATTAGAATTAATGATGATCTTAATGTTTCCAAGAACTGGGTCGAAACACCCAAAATAAGTTTCAACAAAGAAATATGTAAAGTTCTGTTTGTAAGCAAGAAAAAGCAGATGGACTGGGTGACACCTGGCTTAATAGCAGTACAAGTTAAAAGGATTCAGGGGTCTCAATGGGCCAAAAAGTAAGCATGAGTCAACTGTGCAATGCAACAGTAAAAAAAGGGTGATGCAATTCTAGGCTACATCAATAGAAGTGCAACATCCAGATCAAGGATATACTGGATATTGCTTTGGTCCGACTGCACCAGGAATACTCTCTACAGTTCTGGCCATCACAGTTTAAGAAGGATATTATGAAACTGGAACCTTTACAGAAGAGGCTTGTAGTGATTCCACCCATTTGGAGACTGTACATTTAAAGCTATGTAGGTTTGTTTGTACACATGGGGGAGGGGAAAGAGGGAGATCATGGGTGGAGTGCTCTGGTGATTGGAGGCTGAGTAGATGAATGATGATAGGTTAATGTAATTGGAATGATGTGGTAGTGTTGCCTGGGGGTCAGGTGAGAATGGAGTTGTGGTTTGACGGTCTAGAGAAAGACAGCAGAAAAGTTGAGATATGACTGTTTAGAGGAAGACAGAAAATTAGAGCAGAGAGCTGAAGAAAGCTATTGGTCTGTGCTAGGGTTTATTAAGAAATATGTTTAGATCTTACAGTTGTTTTAACCTCTGTTGCTTATATTCATGAATCTACAGTATCTTCCCCTTCATACCTATTATCTCAGCTCCTGTTTGCCTGTTTGAAAGGGACGTGGTGGCGCTGCGGGCTAAACTGCAGAAGCCTGTGCTGCAGGGTCAGAAGACCAGCAGTCGTAAGATCGAATCCACGCAACGGAATGAGTGCCCCTCGCTTGTCCCAGCTCCCGCCAATCTAGCGGTTTGAAAGCATGCAAATGCTAAGTAGATAAATAGGGACCACCTCGGTGGGAAGGTAACAGCGTTCCGTGTCTAAGTTGCACTGGCCCTGTGACCATGGAAGATTGTCTTCGGACAAAATGCTGGCTCTATGGCTTAGAAACGGGGCTGAGCACCGCCCTCTAGAGTCGAACACAACTGAATTAAAAAAATTGTCAAGGGGAACCTTTACCTTTTACCTTGCCTGTTTGAACATTTTTTTTCTCGTTATTTATTTTACATGGGACTAAGAATAAGGGACCCATATTACTAACAAAGGAAAAACACCTATGTAATGTACAGCTACTCTTTACCATTAAGATTTTAGGTATTAAAAAGATGTGAAAGGATGTTCCCTGAGACCAGGGCTGTATTATTCCTAAGGCTCCCTAGCCTGGGGGTCCTGCAGGGATGAGGGGGCCATGATTTTTTTTTTTTGAGCCACCCAAGGGTTCCAATGATTAAAGGCACTTTGCACTCTCTGCCCGAAAGCTAGGGGCCTGGCCATGGGTTACTACTGCCTTGCCTGAGATGCATGTTACTCAGCTAGTATAAAAATTACTGATGAAGTCAGTGCCGCCTCAACCCAGAACGCTGCAAGGCTGACCAAAATGGTAAGGGATCAGAAAACCAAGGTCTATAAATGACAGGTTGAGAGAACTGGATAGTTTGGAGAAGAGGCAATTGAAAGATGACATGACAGTCATTGTCAAATATGATGTAGAAGATGGAACAAACTTGTTTTCTTCAGTTCTATCATGTTTGCTTCAAACTGTATAATTTTGTGATTCTAATGAATAACGATAGTGACAACTAAATAAATGATTATGATTCCCTCCGTATTATCTTTTGCTTCCTGGGAACAAAGCTCACAGCTGAAACAGTAACTGAGTTAGTATTTTTAAAGACTGGCAAACTTTAATACATCCTGACAGAGCTCTAAATTCTAAAGCATGAATGCTGGTACTCTTATTAAAACTGCAGAGGGCCCCTATATAGTAGAGCTGTAATGTACAGTGTGTAAACTACAGGCTTCTGTCTGTTCCAATAGTTTCATCAGAGCTCATGGGATGTGAACTTGAAGTTGCCATTTGCAAGCTGTTCTCTTGCGGAAACAAAACGAGCAAAGGACAAAAATGAAAAAGAAGGAAAAGGTAATACCACATCACACTGTGCTATATTGCACATTAATTACTTATCAAGCAGTTTCTTAGCAGTAGGATTTGCAGAAGGTCTTTCTGACACATGGATTGCATGTGGAACTCAGGAAACCCATATAAAGAACACTGCAAACTTGAAGAGAGAGAAAATGGGGGTAAAACTCTGCTGACACTATTTGGAGAGTCCCATTTTGCACATCCCTCCCTCTTTTTTTCTTTTTTTTTTTAAAGAGCCAAGCAAAAACAACATAAATGTTCAGCTAGCTGAAAGCACATCAGGCTGCGAGGCCAGCCTCAGGGGGATTCTTCCCAGTTCAAACAAAGATCTGCTGCCATCTGGCATATTGGTAGATAGCTTTCACCATAATCCTGAGAAATATAATCTCTTTAAACCATACTGGGGGTTTCAGAAAACAAACAAGTATTTTTGGAACTCACTGAAGCCCATTATAAGGGGCTGCATACTCATGACATTTACTTCCTCGGCAAAAGATCCTCTCGCTGTACTATGAGGGGGAGAAAAAGGGAGGGAAGGAGGGAGGGAGGGACAAATTGCATTTCTTATTCTACTGCACAGTTCAGTTGGCTTGTGACTTTTAAATTAACTCATTTCCCCCTGTTGGTAAGTTTATCAACACTTGAGCTCAAGTGCCTAATTATACAGATCATGCAACAAGTTTTAAATGCCAAGCAATAGCCTTCATAGAAAAACACTCACCATAAACCATGGCACCTCCTGTTTCATGCAAAAAGCGGAATCGATGGTTTTTAAACAGCCAAATAGTGAGTATTGTAAGGATGAGCAAAAAGTTAAAGACCAGCAGCTCCAGTGCACCCTGATGATAAAACTGGTCCTCATCTTTCACCGATCCCTGTTCCTTTGACTTCTCCATTTCATCTCTCCTTGTTTGTACTACTTCACAGCCACCTTACAGAATTAGTTGGAAAAAAAATAACAAACTAAAGAAAATTCCAGATTTAAGCTCAAATGTCCACTTTTGTAAAGGAAAGTCTAGACAGCCCTGAAATTTATAACAAACACATCTGTTTTATTCGCAGCCTCTCTGCACACAGCCACAGCTCAGAATTCAGCTGGATTCTGGTTACAACTTCCTGTTTCCCTCTTAAAGCTGTCCTGTCTCATTTTTCATCTTGAAGTTGCATCACTGTAACATCTTTTACTTTTTGTGAGATGGGCAATGTTGATGGTGTTCTCTGCTGCAATGAGTATTACCATTTTCTTTGAAATCTGATGCATAGATATTTAAGGAAAATTAGACAGTCATCACTAAAGAGAGTAATTTAAGCAATCCTGAATCATTTGCTATCAGCATGCAATTCTTTGAAAATTAAAAAAAAAGTCCTTGAATTTCAGTCCTGCAATGAAGTTGGTCAATAGACCACTGAAGATGGCATAATTTTAAGTACAAGCCTGACAGATTTCAATGAGTGGGTTCCCACAGAGCTCATTCAAATGTAGGAAAAGTTTTCATGCAGGGTCTCCCTTTCAGAGATAGGAAAGCTTCTTTCAAAAGATAAGCTTTGAAAAGTTAGCATTTTCCTTCTTTGTCTGCAATGCAGTTTGGTTAGGATGGCCATGCATCCTATTTCATAGGGGGCAAGTGACACATTCCTCAGTCTGAAAGGCTGTAGTTCAAAGAAATGGAACATTTGGCAGGAAAGTGGGATACAAATCTAATAAACACACACACACACTTAAGTATGAGTTCTGAAAAGTTTTGATGATGTTGAAATGAATAACTTGCTGATTGCTTTTAAACGTTCCGTTGCATCCTTCTGGGGGAGGAAGACCTTCTTGCTTCAGACTTTCCCCCCCAACCCAAAATTGAGACATATTGAGTGAAATCCTATTGCACGGTTATACAAATAGCATTACTTTGCAGAGCAAATTGTTGTAAGTTAACAAATTTCCTTAGACATTAACTGTTGTCTACTGAGTCGTGTCACTCAACGTGCCTACAGCCATTTGTTAACTTACAGCAAATCGTATCTAAAATTTGAACTTTTTGCATAATGCACAACAGTGCATTTCAGCCAGTAAGAATGATGGGATTTGCTTAATGTATTTGCTTTACCAACAAAAAACAAACCACAAATATATGAAGATAATTTTCTAAAACATTGTGCAAAATCCTGATGCACAACTTTGTGACTAGCACAACTCAGATCGAGACCTGAAAATGTTTAATTTACACTAATTAAGAGCATCCTACAATCCCATTCCCGTCTTAGGTTCTGAGGCTCCTTCAGGTTCCCTTTTGCCCAAAGGAAGCTTTTGGGAGCCTTGTGGGGGGCAGAGTCTTTAAAAGCTAAAAATTGCTGTCAGATCACTGTTGCTGGGATTGGAAACGCTACTGCCAATCTGGTGGAAATTTTTTACTTTTAAAGACACCCCGCCCTCCGTGTGCACACCAAAGGTCCCATAGGCTTCCCTGGGCAAAAGGGAGAACAGGAAGTTTTTAACTGGTGTAAATTAAATGTTTCTAGCACCTGATCCAAGTGGTGATAGGAACAAAGTTGCTCAACAGGATTTTCCTCTGTAGATGTTATTTGTTACCATTTGCATTAACGAGTTTAATAATGTTTTCTAATCCCTATTCTTATTTTTCTGGAAGAAGTTTCTTTTGTGGGCCATAGCTTTTATAATTCCTCATTCTGAGGACTTAGTTGATTTCTGTATACTACTTGCAAGCAGCTCTAAAACAACTGGGGCCAGACTTTCCCACAATTGAAGTATTTGCCAGGAATTGGGAGAAGGCCAATCTTCTAATATATAATTACTTTATATGACCAAAACCCAATTCCAGAAAAATCAGGCATGGAAGATAATTACATAGTGGTTGAGTCAACTACTTGCAAGCAGCCTAAAACAACTGGGGCCAAACTGTCCCACAATTGAAATATTTGCCAGAAATTGGGAGAAGGCTAATCTTCTAATATATAATTACTTTATATGACCAAAATCAAATTCCAGAAATATCAGGCATGGAAGATAATTATATAGTGGTTTTCCAAATTCTGGAGGTGGCGGTGGGGATATTGTTTCCTGTTTTCAGAGAGGTGGCCATCTTTTGTTTAGTTGTTAAGTCGTATCTGACTCTTCGTGACCCTATTGACCAGAGCACGCCATGTTGGTAGCTTTGGTAACACTGTCCAACTATCTCGTCCTCTGATGTCCCCTTCTCCTTTTGCCTTCACACTTTCCCAATATCAGGGTCTTTTCCAGGGAGTCTTCTCTTCTCATGAGATG